GCAAATGGTCTCACCTAGATTACCATTTATGAAAATATTCAAATGTCTTCGCAGTGATGGACAGCTAAAAATCAAAGGCAATATTATTAATGTTCCGATAGAACTCACTAAGACTACATCTATTCTGCCCAGACGTGCTGAAAATTTAGCTGCAGTTAAGATGATGAAAGTAAAATTGAAAAGAAAATCATGTTTTAAACAACATTATCTTTATCAAAATGTTAGACCAACATTAGTGGTAACAGCATTAAATGATTTGAATAAAAAGCCACTTTATAAAGATGCAGAAATAGACAGAGATTGGTTAGCTCATGTCACTGAAACTACCAATGGCATGGAAAATGCCTCAGATCTCGAAAGCGAAGGAACTGATGATGAAGATACAAACATCGAGCCGATCAATCCAGGAACAATGGACACAATGATTGAAAACTGTGATTTCGTGTCTTTTGCTCCAGGTGAAGGCATGAAACCATTGTCTATTCTTATAGATGATCACGCGGAAGAAAAAGCTTTTCCTGATTTATTTGGAGGGCATCCACGCACTAACAAATCGCCTTTAAAGAATTATTCAAAAGTAGTACGATCTGAACTGTTAAATGTAGATCGAAGATTTGCATCGGACTCTTCGGACTTATTTTTTAAATGCAAAGTATTAGTTCAAAAATTAATTGCTAGCAATGTGCAAATTGTTATGCAAAAAAGCAAAAAAGGAAACACAACTGCTAACGACGTAGCYAATCCAATGGTCTTAAATAAAATGATAGATAATGATCAAGGGTACCGAATGCTTCACACCGTACAAAATTCACCTTCATATCTAGCTTCAATGAGAAAAAATGTTTTTGCCATGGTACGTCAAGAAGGTCAGCCGACTTTATTTTTAACATTTAGCCCTAGTGAATCAACTTGGGCGGATTTATTAAAAATTCTATACAAGCTACGTTACTCAAAAACATTATCTGATGATATTGTTCTGACTTATGCTCAAAAATCAGATTTAATTCGACAAGACCCTGTTGTTTGTGCTACTTATTTT